CGGCAAAGGCGCGAAACGCAGGAAAACGGCAGCTCTCCCCAGCAGCGCTGCCTTGAGAGACAACAGGCGATGGGCGCTCTGAGCGCTGGGCAACCTGAGAAATTCCTGGTCCTTCTTCTAAAGAGCTTTCGTTGGATCTTGGAGCTGTCCGTGAGCATCTCCAGAAAGGGAGTCCACACCGCTTGAGAGAGGCTGGGACCTCCCAAAGGTCAAACGCCAGTGACAAAACTGGGAACTGGTTCTTACCTCCTCCCCCTCTGAATAAAGGAGGAAAAATGCGGGGTAGGAGGGAAATGGGTGCCAGCCAGGAAAGCCACGCTCACCCTTGCTGTTCAGACAAGGCGATGGGAAAACATTGCTTCCTCTGCGTTTCCCTATTGCTCCCGCTGTCCCGCCCCAGAGATCGGCCTGAAGGCACAGTAATATTCTCTGCAATTAAGGCGGTTTGCTAATCAGCGCAATGTCAAGCCATCTGTCACAGCAGCAAACACCGTGCTGATCTACAACAGAGGATGCACACCTTCCTGCCCAGCCTAGACTTTGAAGTTAGAGCAGCAACCTGGGAATTGGAATTTCTAATGAGAATCGTGACAAAGTTGGCAAAACCCCAAGAAAAATGAAGGCTCCAAGTCACAGAATTACGAGAAGAACAAAATTCTGTTGCCACTCATGACTGGCCTGGAAAGTTAATTAAAATGTTCATGTATATTTGCAATTATTAAAAAAAGAAAAATGGCTGAATAGAAAACAAGGCTTTATAGACACAGTACAAACTCTGCTTCCTGAAAGAGAGTATCTGATTTTTGAGGTGCTCTAATCAGACATTTGAAGTCTTCGTTCCTGTGCATAGCAGTAATATACATCCTAAAGGTAGCCAACCAAGTGGAAGCCCATTACAGTTACACCAGGGCTCTCCAGGCAGAGCAACGCAGCTTATGTCTCCAGTCTCCGGGGCTGGAGTAGCTGCCACACAGTTTCAGCTCAAAAATATTACAAATACATGTGTTCTAAGTAATGGCTGTGCAAATAAATATGTCCTACCACACCTTTCCAAAGCTTCCTTTTCCCAGCACCATCAGGAAATTGAAATCTGAGAGCTTCATCCGATCTCTGCTTCCATTGTTATCGAATTTGGAAATAGCATTTGTCGTCTTCTCGTCGGCAGCCTTGGATCCTGGACCAATCTTGGCTCTCTGCAAAGATGGAGATGGGAGAGGGAGATTACTGAATACAGTTTGGAGAAAGGTCATGATAAAGAGAGTGAGTGCTCCTGAAATCCCATGCTAATCAGCTTATTTCCTAGGTCAAATGCTACGTTGGGCTCCAGAGGCCTTTTCCATACACATGATAGAGACAGAGCCACGAATCACGCTTGGTTAACATAACAAACATAACGCGTTGTGCTGTTCAGCTTAGTCTCCATTAATTTCCTGAAGAGACACCAGGAACCACCTCGCTCATCATCCCCCGCTGGGAAGCTCCAGGTTTGCCGCCTCATCGTTGCAGGCTCCAGCATATGGGGTGGGCTCCCCACCGAGACCTGGGGAACCTTCCTCAGGGGAGCTGGGCACCGAATGGGACAAGTGATGGATACCGGCTCCTCACGTGCCCCAGTCCTCTGCTCTATCTCATTTTAAACGCTTGTCCATAGGGTTTCTCCCTGGGGAAGACCCTCAGCTGCAGGAAAGGGTCTCTAAACCAAAACTGAGATGTGGATAATATTAACCCTCCTGGAGCGTTTGCAAGCAGCAAGTCCGGACAATGTCCTCACAAGCTGCCATCAATGGGAACAGCGTGCCATCTCCACGGAGCATTAGACATTTTAAACCTTATGCTCCACCTCCGACAATGGAGGTGATGCTAACCCACAACTTGTCCCACGTCACCCAAAGTAAAAAACAGAAAAAACACACAGGCTTAAATGAGTTCTTTCTTCACCAATCTGACTCATGTTTTGGTCTCTCGCCTCATGAGAAAAGGATAGGAGACGACAAATATTAATGCAAATATTAAGGTAAAATAAGGGAATTTTTAACAAGCTTCAACACTGTTACTATCTGATATCAAAGAGAATTCTGCTCCTGTGCCAGCTCAGGCTGAACACAGGAAGCTACAAATTCATTTTCAAAAAAAACAGAATAGAAAGCTCTTCTCCCGCATCCCCAAGCAATCACACGAGCTGGCTCAATCACAATTGCTTATTAAGGAGCCTCACAAAACCCCCCCATTTTTAAACACAAAATCTCATCAGTTGCTGGGAACCTTCTCATTGGTCCAGGGGCTATCTAATTTGCTGAACCACAATTTGTAAACGCTATCTCACAATTTATTCGGTTTTAATTTTTAGAAATATGCCACAGCGTAGAGCTTGCACTGAGCTCAGTCTAGCATGAAATTCCATTAACCCGATTCCAGCAGTTCAATTTGACTGCTGCTCACAGCTCCTCCAGATAGGAGCCTTACAAGTAATCTCCAAGCCGCTGCTGCTGCTAATTGGTTATTGCAAGGCTCGCCTTGCTGTAAAATTCTCCATTCAAGGTCACCTGCAACACCTACAAACACATGAAAAACTCCTGCACTGAAAACTAAAGGAGTGGTTTCAAGGATTTGCAAACATCATAATTGCTAATGCAGCTCTGAAAAAGTGCCCTGGGGAAGAGGCTGAAATCATTCAACAGCCTGATACCTGCTACTGCTGCAAACAGCAACAGTCACAGGACACTTGCATTCAGAGGAAATGTTCCTACATTTAAAAGGAAATACAGTCATCTTCCCAAAAGGGTAGAGGCTTTTTCCTAATCTCAAACTTTAAACTTTAGCAATGTTCCAAAACCAAGGTAATATCTAGCCAGAGCATTTTATTTCAGCTCAGCTCAGCTGAAACAGCAGAGTCCCTGCGGGTTTCTCCCGTTCCCCCCATCACGAACAGCTCTGCCCGACTCCTGCTAGCTCGTCAAGGGTGAAACAACACCTGCATGGTGCTTTTAAGAGCAGCAATTTCTAAAATCATACCCAAGTGAAAACTAATAATATTTCCACTCGTAACAGTACAAAGTCTGGGAGACTTGACTCTTTATCCTTAGCCATTGTTGAAGGAGAAGCCTTTAATGGTGTGCCTGTGGCACCAAATGAAAGCTGCTCCCTGCATTTGGCCTGAGCGGGATTCAGACGCGTGCAGCTCAACAAGAGCAGCCTCTGCGTCACCGAGAAGCCAGCCTTGCGCTGTGCAACTTCACCTACAGCAATCCCGACACTATCGCGTTTCAAAGCTCTGTTTGAAAGATGTGTATGCTTATCCGCACACAAAACAGTCGTATTGTGTGAAAGCTTTCCTAAATACTCTATCACAGTTAAAAAACAATCTTGTCAGATCAAATTTGACGCTAAATTAACCTCTGTGAAAACAAGCTTTAACAAATTTCAAGGGCAATCATTATGTTTCCATTAAATTACACTCAAAAGCACACCTCTGCATTTCAGACAAGCACATTTTCTCGTGCACGTTTGCAGTCTAAACATTGCAGCATTGGGGTCGGTCAAGGGAATTTGAAGGAAACACTGGCCAAACCAGGATGAGACTTTCATTCCTGATCAAAACGGTAAAGAACAACATGAAGAGGGGAAAAAGGTAAAGGATTTTCATTTGCTTCATTTAAACAAACTTGCAAATTTTAGCCATGGCATTATCAGCAGTGTAGGCAGGGAGTTTCTTACGCACAGGCTTGCATCCAGGCATCTAAGGGTGAAAGTGGCTTCAGGTCTCTTTTTGTTGCCTACAGCCGTTCTTGAAGCCTGTATTTTAATAGGTGTCGCTTCAATCATATTTGGTGTTGCGCTTGACCTTAATTTGCAACATCACAATACTTTCACAGGAGATGAGATGAGGATGTAAACATAATATTACTTTTCTGAAAAAACAGGCTAAGTATGTAGCTAGGTCAGAAAGGGGAAATGTCTTTTCAGCATCCAAAATAACAGTCAGGGACCTGTAAGACCGCCCACCAAGTGGAGTAACTCGCTTTTGCTATTACATGTCTATAATGTCTATTTCTAAGTGAGTACAGAAGTCCTTTAACCTATTTTTAATACGGTCTTAACGCTCGCAAAATCTTGAGACCTTTCTAAGTTTTACGACTGAAGCATGCCAAATATTGCTCACAAAAAAATAAAAAAGTACTTGACCTTCGTTATCCAACTCCATTTGTCATACTTAATTTACTACATCTGAATTTATGCAATAGCAGCTGATGTTCACATCTATCAAGCTGTCCCAGCAAGCGGCTGATAAAGGCTGAGCAGAATTGGCAGCGTCTGTGCTGCAAGACCTCACGCTGTGCTTTTGTCTCCACGCTCTCTCTTGCTAAGCCCAGGACGTCCCCGCTGCAGATAGCAGGCTGCAGGAGTGCACAACCGGGACCGCAGCCCGAAACGACGCTGCAGGCTGCCAGAAAGGGGGACCTCCTCCAGCGAGCGAGCAGGGGCAGCTCTGCGAGCGCCTGGCGTGCCTTCGGCACCATCCCGGGCTGGCACCTCAGCTCTCTTACCTTGCTGCTTTTGCAATGCTTTCCTAAGCCCACTCAAAGTATGAACCTGTCACACACACCTCAACGTCGGGCTGTTGCTTTGGGCTGCCCAGGAACAGGCCGGATGAAGCAGCGCTAACACAGATGGGCTGCAGGATGCTTTCTCGCCCTCCCCACCGGCGAGGCAATGCCAGCACCCTGCTGCTGCGGGAAACCAGGCTCCAGCACCTCCCTCCGACCTCCCAGGGGGGCCAGCAGAAGCCACTACCAAACTGCTGACTTAGAAGGATTTCTCTCTTTATAATATTGACTCGCTCACAACTGAGGATGCGATTAAGGAAAGATGCGGTAAGGTGAGGATACAGTCAGAGTCTCGAAGAGTGAAATGATACTTCTGGACAATGTATTTTCTGATCTGTAGTCAACTCATCTGTGACTTCAAACATGCACGTGATTTTAACACCACTGAAACATCAAGAAATGCAAGAAAAGCAGGGCAGGTAGCTAATTCTTTATAAAACTGACAAAGTATTACACGTGCATATGGTTATATCAACTGTCACATTAGAACTGTCTTCTTTTCTTGCATGTCCAGGGAAGTTAGATATAAGTGAGATTAAAAAAAAGAAAGGTCATTTGGAAAAAGGAGCTCTGCGGTCCCACGCTACCGTTATGGACTTCAGACTGACTTCCGTAAAGCCAACTGTTTTATTCCCTATATGGATCATTTCATATATGTCTCTAGATGTAATGCATTCATTCTCAGGGCTCTGGGAAGATTTTAACTATACTGAAAAATGGTAAAGAGCTATTAATTCAGTAATGTCTGGATCAATCATTCTGGCAAGAGCTTCCATGGCTTATTGAGTAGTAAATAGAGATTTCTCCTTGAAGCCTCCTTGAAGGGAGAGTTGGACTCACACTTCACCGAAATCCATAAAAGACGAGCACTGAAATCTCACCGGCTTCAGCTCACTTCTGTCGAGATCCTCGGTGCCGCTAGTGCTGAGCCCCGACACCCTCTGATGCTGGCAGCAGCTAAGCTGGGCCAGCTCCTCCGGGAGCCCCAGGTGTGATGAGGCTCTGCACAGACTTTCTTGCTCCTTGAGATCCCATATCCACATTCACTCACAAAAGCCCATCACTTTTACGTCCTTTGCTTTTCACAGGCACCAGCAGTGCTTTCCCCAAGCGCCTATCGGAGCCGGAGCTGGCAGCACGCAGGCTCCAGCAGCCCGAAGCCCTCGTCTTCTGCTCTCCCTGCATAGTTTGGGCACTACCCGAAACGCCGTTGATTTGCACATAAAAACCAGGAACACGTGATTGCGCCTGATATGCCAGAGCAGCTTTTTGGCTGGAAGAGTGAGAAACACTAAGAGGACAGAGCCCACCCCAGAGACCCTGCTCGGCGTGGGCAGCCTCCCTCCCGCCTCCCCCCGCAGCGCGTCCGAGCTCGCCCCGCAAACGCGTTGACCCGACGCTGTGCCTTTTCGCTGCAGCGTGACGGGCTCAGCTCAGACGAGGCACTGTCACCCGTCCGACCTTCGCTGTCCCTTGGCCTTACCAATCAGCCTCAAGTTCAATTAACATCGAGTCCAACTCTTTGCTCATCAGATTGCACCCGTATCCCAGCTAAGAGAGCAGTGCTACGTGCTGAGGTACGGAGGTATTACCTATATTATTGAAAACTAAATCACTGGCTGGTGCACGTCGCCTTGGTGTTCCAGGCTGAAACCTCGCAGAGTCCCATCAGCGCTTCCGCCGGGGAACACGTCGGTGCAAAGCGCCTGTCAAGGATCACTTCTGAGACGTGCCAATGCACGGAACCAACCATCATCCTCCTACTAACCAAACGAAGTCTCAGCACGCAAGGCAGCGTACAGGCGCTGCCGCGACACGACCTAAAACAGGTGAAGAGGGTTTCCTTCCGAGATTAGTTTCAAATCCAATTATATCAATATCTCATTTTATCTTAGTTAATGAATATTAACTTATAGTAAGCAGCAGGACAGAAAAAACAGACGGACAAATCCTATTACATTGCACCTCAAAAGGAGGGTAGAGCTGCTGTTTCACAAGCATTTCCAGCATGCTGCCATCAGGAACAGGTACTCCAGGCCATGCCAGGACACCCAGGATCTCTGTCCCTCCTTAATCAGAATACAGTGTTGGAGGCACATTAACTGAGGTATTTTCTCATCTAGCTCTGCCACGTTAATTTTGGCAAACAAATTGTGAATTATATAATCCCTAACAGCAAGAGAGATTTCATCTGAAACAACACGAATGAAAGGCCGATGTTTCTTCCACTGCTTTTGTCTCAATAAGAAGAAACGACCGCCTAAAAACGATGGGCTTCCAGACTGAAGGCAGCATGCTAGCACAGACCTGGGATCACACACACCCTTAGCAGTGCGCAAAGCACACAGCCAACATTACACAAAACTGTGCATTGTGCATTACTCTCTATTGTATTTTCAGCCTGACGTAACCACCAAAGAATTATTTTCCTATCTCTCTTCTCTTCACTCACCGCAAATCCCTGCTCCCAAACTGGGAGAGACATATGCACAGAGAGGTCACTGTGTTTTCAAATTAAAGTATCCTAGGAGGGCGAGATGGATGGTTCATTTAATGCGCCACAATTAGAAGAACCCTGCCAATCCCAGAAGAAAATTGTACGCGAATGATTCATACCCTACACTTCCAGCTCCTGGTTTATCTGAATCCTTTTCCCTTAAATTGGTGTTCTGAAAACTTTTGCAGAAATGAGCCCGTTTGGCTCCGGTGTCGCCGCTCACCCTCATTCCCTGGACCGCTGCACGGTCCTCACTGGACCGCGCCGGTGCCCCCGGGGCTGCAGGAGCCGAGCGGCTGCAGCAATCCGAAGGCGCTACCTGGCCTAAACCCCCGCGGTCTATTGCTTCTCCTCCGCCCGGGAAGAACCGGCCTCCTGCAGCTTCGGGGCTGACTGCCAGCGCCTGGTATCTCCCAACTCACGCCAACAGATCAAGAAACACGGACTTGACTTACGAAAGAATTTGCTGCAAGTCCTCCAGGTTCCTGCGCTGCGTGAAACAACACGTGCAGAAACCTGCACGGCAGCATCACGGCTGCAGCGACTCCCTGTCTTTCCAAAGACTGAACACGCGTCCACAGCCCAGCTCAGCAGAAACCTAAAACCCTACCTCAGCCATCCGGCAAACGGACAGAAAAGCCCAACCGCTGTCCCTCTGCAACGCGAAGGGGCCGCAGGCAAAGGGGCGAGCCCAAGGGCAGCGCCAGGAAGCCGCGCGAGCATCGCCAGCCTGCCGCTCCCGAGCGGGTCCTTCCTTTAGC